TATATCATATCACATATTTTAATAATACAATCGCGTAACACAACAAATTTGTTTGGCATCAATTCCAGTTTCTATACTGAATTTAACAATATAGAAATTATTATTATACTTATAATTTTTATAATATCAATTATTTCTTAATTTTCAATTTATTATTAATTCTACAATTCTCTCGCGTTATTTACAGAAGCAAATCTTAGCTTGTTGTTTCGTTTCAGACCGAAATGAGAGGTTTAACGGGCCTTGTCAAATTTGATAGGGACGGTTTCCGTAGTAATATAGAATTGGATATCGTACGCTTGACTGAAAACGGTCTTATAAAGATCGGTGGATGGAATAGTACGGTGGGAGAAAGCATCGATTGGCTGCCAGAACCACCTTCAAAATCAGAGATTAAACTAAATATACAAAACAAAACATTTATAGTTTTAATAGCTCTTACACCACCTTATGGATTCGAAAAAGAATCGATAATCACGTTGAGCGGCAACGAGCGTTACGAAGGTTTTGCCATTGATGTGATATACGAGATTAGCAAAATTCTTGAATTTAATTATACCTTCGTTGTGGAAGAGAGCACCGGGACGTTGAACAAAAATACTGGAAGGTGGACTGGAATGCTTGGAAAAATTATAGATGGAGTTAGTATTAAATTGAGAAAAATATATAATCGAATAATAATGAAATAAAACAAAATGATCGCACTAACATGACGGAATTCATAAATCGAAAATAACGCTTTTCTAGGAAGCAGATCTGGCCATCACGGATCTTACGATCACAGCGGATCGAAGCGAATACGTCGACTTCACAACACCAATAATGAATTTAGGTCAATGAAATTAATGTAATGATTTAATATTACTATAAATAATCTAAATAAATTTGGTTTTGTCAACTGTACATAAAGCATAGTCCAAATATTAAAAAATTGCATATATATTTTACAGGAATAAGCATTTTGTACAGGACACCAAAAAAAGCGCCGCCGAGTTTAATGTCATTCCTGTCGCCGTTTTCGAATGGCGTCTTCTGCTCTACTTAATTGGTGCTTACATAATAATATCGCTATTATTATTCGTTGTCGGCAGATTGTGTCCCGCGGAATGGAATAACCCTTACCCTTGTATTGAAGAAGCAGAAACACTAGAGAATCAATTCTCCATTAAAAACGCTTTCTGGTTTGCAATAGGCAGTATCATGCAACAGGGCAGTGAAATAGCACCAATGTTAGTATGAAATGTTTTTTGATATTATAAAATATTACTAGTAATATTTTAT